TTTCTTCCCTTCACCACCCACCCTAATGCCTCTGTTTCTTTTGTGCATCCAGCAATAGACCTTTACTGACAGCAGTACCAGTTAATACCACCCTTCTTTACCCAGAAACAAATAAAAATTTCACTGACTCTCATCTGATGGATATTCCTTTATTCGAACAACTGGCTAACTATCCAATTTGCATTTCCAGCAAGAGTAAGCCTACGCATTACAAATGCCTCACTAACATTATTCTCTCCAGGATAGCATGCGTCACCCCTCCTCTTTCCTATGGTGCAAAGGAAAATACCAACACTGTGTTAACTCCTCTTAGTCCACCTTTTGTATACCGGTAATGATTACACCCCAGGTGTACCTATTCGAGGAAGAGGAAGCTGCCCTCCTCCTTCACAGCTGCCAGCGGAGAGAAATCTTCATCCCTTTGCTAGTAGGGCTCGGACTTGCCCTCTCCCTGGGTGCTGGAGGCACTGCAGCTGCTGCTATTGTACAAACCCATCACCTGGCAGAAGACTTTCTAGACAAGCTGGACCAGGCAATGGCATCCACTACTGACAGCCTCGAATCTCTCCAACGACAAATGAACTCTCTTGCCGGGGTTGTGCTCCAAAACAGAAGAGCACTGGACTTAATAACTGCTGAACATGGGGGAACGTGTGTAGTATTGGGAGAGGAATGCTGTTTTTTTGTGAATGAATCAAATGTTGTTGAGACCAATGTTAATACTCTCAAAAAACTTCGTAATGATCTATTTTCAAGATTTCAACCCACTGAACAATTAGGTTGGTTTAGTAACCCCTTGTTTTCATGGCTCCTACCCTTTGTTAGCCCTGTGATCATGCTGTGTGTCATTTTGATGCTTGCTCCCTGTTTCATACAATTTCTTCACCGACAAATTACTACAATTGCTAAAATTACTACCAAACAGGTCATGGTCAATTATCAAACTTTGGATTCTCCTGAGATAGATGAGTTGGCTCTTAAGGCTTGTGATGACACTTCTCCATTTTAAATCAAACAGGGGGAGATGTTGGGAAACCCTGCT